AATGCCTCTGTCAAATGCTGCAACAATTGCAGAGTAAATGACTTAAAATATTGTCACTAGACAAGCTTTAATCATAAAATTTAGACATTTGGTCTAGGCTAGTAGGGGAGTGTGAATAAATCTCATGGAAGTTGAGGGCAGAGCCACAGCAGAAACTCAGCATCAAGCACGGCTTTGACCCTGCAATGTCATACCACAAGGACAATTATGTTAATTAATACAAGTCTTTATGAGCTCTTATGCTGGTTCGGCCAGTCAGCCTAGGTGAGCGACCTTTACTTTGGCATCACGTGATGTCAAAATGCTGAAAGTAGCATTTAAGCCAGTTTTTATATTAAATGCACATGTATCTATGCATGCAAATACACACATACATTTACTCAGGTATACTTTGCTGATTTCAAGGAATAAAGGACCAATCCATCTCTCAAAAGAAAAATCTTCCTCATATGGGGGAAGACAGCTACCACATTCAGCTTTTGTCACTGTTACTGTGTTATTCAATACAGGATTACAAGATGTTAAACTCAAGGTAGAGCTAATGGCATAGACACAAAGAGACATAGCTTGAAAAAGCTCACCCTCACCAACACCTACAAGTAGCATTCCTGAAATGTTATTAGTGTCACATTGCATGTCCCATCCACGTTGGCCTCACACCATGGCACAAAACTGAAGGTGGAACTGGGGTTTGAGTTTATAGAAGGGCTATTCCCTGAAGACACAGGGAAAGAAGCCCCTGAAGACAGAGAAGGAAGCCAAGGCCCATGGCCTCTCACCTTCAGGGGCTGGGGACACTGGGAGAAAGGCCCTGCTCTGAACATGTAGGTAAGGGTAGTATGTAGGCAAATCTGCTGTTAGTTTCTGTCCATGCAGATTTTCCCAAATTTGAGGTGTTGTTCTGGCTTCTTCCTTTATTGATGGAAAAATCCCAGAAGAAATGCGCAGGGAAGAAAATCTCCCTGGAGTAACTGGCTCAGCTCTGGCTGTGGTGCATATGCCACAGCCAGAGCTGTAAGCTCCAGCATCAGAGTAGGACAACAGTGGGTTTCTATCTAGGAAGAAGCTGAGGGGCCAGCATTGCTGCAAGTGTGCTTGTGAAAATCTGGTGAGGGTTGGCAAGAAGACAGTTTTGAATATTTTTTTAAAATCCCTACAACCACTAAACCCCCAAAACCCTTTAAAAACCAATGCTTGTAACAGGACCCCTTTCAGATAATTTCTTACAGCTTTGATGCCCAACATCTTTCACAACAGGACCAGCCATTCCTCTGAAATGGTATTTCTCATTTCAAGAACCATTTCCTACCTTTATAATATAGAACTGGCAGGACCATTCCTCAGGTGGGTTTATGCAGGAATCCGTTTCTCCAGTCATGTGAACACAAAGTGCTTCTCTCCAGAATACCATAAAATAAACCAGAAAGAAACCCCTTCATTTGTACCTCCCTGTTATCTATTTTCCTTCTCTGTAAGATTCCCAGGCAGAAGAGATATTTAATGATCAAACATCCTAACTGGCACTGTTTATTCCTAAAAGAAAAGCACAATAATAAGAAGTACTTCAGTTAAATGATAATAGACCAGGTGCCACATTTTGCAAGCTAGTAATCTGGATACCAGAGGATTATTAAAAAGAACTAGATACCTTGTCTGTTCTTACTGTCACATAGAAGACAGTACCTGGTGTCAGTTTTCCAGTTGGAATTATACCAGTAACATAAAAAAAATGGTCCTCCACGCTGAAAAAGACACTTGGCTGCTGCCTACTGGTCTACCTGAAGCTCCAATTCCAAATGGTTTGCAGCCTGGAAATGAAAATATCAGACATATATCATGAAAATATTATGTGTATATATCTATCATGGTACAGGATCTATCATTATACTCTTTGTATCATATATCATATATATGAGTAAGGTCAGCAGTAAACCTGACAGCTTATTACATTTATCTGTAAGCAGAGGAACAGGAAAAGAATAATTATTGAGTAGCTTTTATTTTTCTCAACTTCTGAAGCATTCAGATTGACAAAGGCCCATGGAACAACTGATGCTCTTTTATCAGCTGCCTTCAATAACTGGTGTTACTGAAGTTACAAACTGTGCTTTATACTGAAATTATGGACTATGTTTTATTATAGACGGCATGTATGGAGAAACAGTTCACCACCAGGTGGCAGATATTCCAACTTCAACAGTTTCAAATGCTAAGAGGACCCAAATGGCAGCGATTTAAAAAATACAAAATACCCCTTACCTGTCACCCGTACATTTTAGAAAAACAAATTTATGTGTTTTTTTGTTTTGTTGTTTGTTTGTATTTTTTCTTTTTTTTTTTTTTTTTTTTTTAGAAAAGACATTCCTCTTCTAGTTTGACCAAGTCCAAGGACGTATGGGATGAATGCTACCATGCCCCAGGATACAGCCTATCGATAGTTTCAGAGGTACTGTATTATACAAGAAGTTTTAATCCTCAGATAAATTCTTGTTGATTAAGAAAAAAATCATGTCTTTTTGTTTCACGAGGGACCTTCCTAGAGAGAGTAAATATCTAATCCAACACTTGCTCATTTACACCTGTACACCTCTGTAAGCTAAACCCTACATGGGACAAGTAATTTCTTACCAGACCAACCATGTTGGTTTAGGATAATGAAATTGGTCCACCAGAGCATTCATGGATAAAACAAAAGGAAGAAAATGAAAATACTGCCATGGCATTTCGAGAGTGCTTAATTTACTCTAATAAAGCTACTAAATCCTTCCTGTAAGACAGAAAAGCATCATGAGCAATTTCCATATGATGGGGTTTCTTTGTAAACTGTTCATTTAAGCTCAGTACCACAATTTTGTGTGTGTAATGCGTTACTGCAAATGCTGTAAGGCAGGAACCATTTTTTTTCCTGTACTTGTAGAGGGTTTAGCATGCTGGTACGGACAAAGCACTTAATCAAGTAACAAGGTCATTATCACAACAAGTCAAGGTGCTTTACAGACAGTTTAATAAGCTTTGAGAAGCAAGTATTTAGTGGGAACTTAAGTGGGAGCTGAGAGACAACCATGAAGTGAATGGATTATTAATGAGTGAATTAACTTCCAACAGTCCTAACATTTCACAGGCCCTATGATATGAAATGGACTTTGGGTAACATATCCTGAGATTTGATTTCACTCCTTCACTCATTATCCATTTGAAAATCCTGATTACTGACAGGCAGTTGAAGACCTGCTCTTAGTTTAAGTCCAATGTATTTTCGTGACTTTTGTAATCTTTGTCATTACAATATTTTGCATTTTTCCTCACTAATATCTGCCATCAAAAAGTAGGAAAACAACTACTTTTCTAGGTTATCTTATGTTCTACATGGGCTAAGAACACTTGGGAATTGCTTAAGCCAAGACCTATTAAAGTTATAATTCGCCCTGTTTTATACGTCTTACTGGTGCTTGCTTCACTGTGCAACTGCAAAATGTATGCAACAAAATTTCTTTATATCTTACAGAACTCTTCCTAAGCATGCTTTTGAAAATTCAAACACAAAACTTGGCACTGGACTATAAGATTACACAAAGTGTGTACCATGTACACACTTTAATCTCAGCTGATTATCTGATCTGTGTTACTCTGTTCCCATTTCATTTAACACGTGTCTCAGATCTGTTGGATATATTGAGAATCAAGTTTCATAAACTATATATTCTGCACAACCCAACTACTATATGGCTCATAGTATCACAGCAATTTAAAAAAATGCTATTTTAAAGATTTGCAAAATACTCACATTGTGTTTGTTCAAATATATTTGTTGTATAATTTCACAAATTATCAGACCATCAAAATAAATGTTTTGAACATAAAACCAACACAATTAAAGAAACAAACAACTGCAATTTAATAGCAACAATCTCACTTTACAAGATAATAATGATGGAAAATGCAAAGGAATCTGAAAAATAATGCAATTAAAAGTGACCCATTTAAGACAACAGAGAGTTCAAAATTAAATAGCACGATAATTCTAGTACGTGGAAATTCTAACCAGAATGTTTACTTGATGCAGCATTCTGATTAGTAAGTGACACTGTGTTACCAGCACCTACTGACATCTGACAAATACTATTCCTTTAAAGCAGTATTTTTCTGGAACACATGATGAATAAACCATAACTAACTGCCAATATGGTGACTTCACTATTCAGTGCACTCCACAAATATTATTTTAGATTTCTTTTACAACATACACCACTTCCAAACATAAAGCAAAGCAAAACAGAGGTGAAGTGACTTTGTGGATGGAGAGGAGCACTGGCCTGGCAACTAGGAAATCAGGATTTGATTCCTGGCTCAAGCCCAGATTCCCAGTTAAGACATTCAGTAAAACAGAAATTACAGCACTGGCCTCCTAAGAAAACCTTGAAATCTACTGAAAATCCCCCCCCCCCATGAATGCAAGTCAGGGCTTACTATTAAAAATTAAATAGGAACTATATAACACTTTCTCTAATCACTTTGGAGACGATGTAATAATTAACTTTATTAAGCATGACTGCTGCTAATGCTGCATAAAAATAATTAAACATGATAAACTGAATGTATACGAAGGATTCCACAACAGTGAATGTCAAACTTGCCCTTCTTTGAACCCAATTCATGAAGAAGTGAGAAGTGTGTGATGAGCACCCACAGAAATCTCAGAAAGAAAACTGGTCCCACAGGAAGTGTGACTCCATAGCAAATTTTAGTGATACCAGGATTTAATTTCCAAGGTTTTCAATGATACTTAAGTAAATAGTTATGTATTTATCAAGACAGGGAGGATGCTTTTCTGAAAAGTGGTCTTAATTTCAGTATTGACTGAAATTCATGAGAATTGCATGAGAAAGTAAGTCACACAAGCATAGATACATACGCAAAGCAAACTGAAACCAAAGTATTTTTCTCATTAAATAACATAAAATAATGTGATGACTATCAACAGAGTAAAAAATCCACAAAGGTATGTTTTGCAGTTTATTTTCAATTATAATTTTTGGATAACCAAGCAGCTCTGTATGGAGAAAGCACAGAAGAGTCATTCTGGCACTTTTGGATAGTACATTATTATTTGTTTTTTCTTTCCCAAAATTTTTCTAGACACATTCAGCCCACTTGCTCGGTCTATAGTCCATTTTATATGAGCATGATTAGCTCATATGATTCCAGAGGAAACTAACAATATATACAGTCAATGAAACTATCTTCTTGTCTACTCTGGGCCCTTTAAAATGACTTCTAAGTCTATCCTGGCTAAACAGAATTCACAATATACATGATAGCTACAGAATACACTGTATTGAAATGAGAAATGCTCAGCACAAAATGGGACTCTTGGCATGCAGCTTAAAATAAAAGGTAGAAGTTCAGAAATTTATAAAATCTCAAATGGGGTCAATTAAAAGGAGTTAGCAAAAGAAGGGACTGTTCATTGTTACTGTAAAAAAGGCACTTTGAGTAAATGGGACCAGAATTGGAGGAATCTTAGTCGACACAAAGTTCAGTTTGGTTTCATAAAAAGGCTTCAATGCTAAGGGATGCTACTCAAGTTTCCTGCAGTTTTACATTAAAATAAATTGCTGAGTAGTTTATAATAAAGGACATAAAATGTTTACAACCAACTTGTAAAATTAAGAAAAAGCACAGTATAAGCAAAATATTACTAAAAGCAGCAATGCATAGCCTTTCATAGAGATAATGCACAATTTTGGACACCATGTGTCAAATTCTTGTTTTTAAGATACTTTCAGTAGCATTATCAACATAAAATTGGCCTACAAAAAAAAGCTTTACCAGCTCCCATTCATAAGGAGATTGAGGTCATAAACCAACCAAAACAACTTGTCAGTATTTTCAACATCCTGGATGACCAATATCAAGTATATGGAATAATAATCACACTCTTTGTTCAGCTATCTCACTGGAGGCAGCTGTTAAATCAGAGGAATGATTTTAATTCTTTTCTAACATTTACACAGTAATGCATTTAAGTTCTTTCAAATGTTGCTCACCACAGTTTGTTTTTCTCTTTTCTCTCCACAACAAAACAAAAAACAAGAAAGGAAAAAAAAAAAATCAAGCACTTCCACAGAAAGAATATTTGGCAATTTTATACTCCACTGAATGGTGGATTTTCACAATAGCTCACTTCAGATTGAAAGTCATTAGTGGTCGTTCCTCTCGCTTCTGCCAAGGACTCTTCTTATCTTCACCTTGGTCATCTTCCTCATCCTCCTCATCCTCCTCCTCATCTTGAACTGATGTTCCATGTTCAGGACTAGTTAATGGCTCTGGTTTGGTATCCACAGTTCTCGTTTCCTCCTGCAGGCTGGGCAGCTGCACACCACTTCTCTTACTCGTGCCTTCTAGCAGGCATCGTAGAGCATTGTCCTCAGGGCTACAAACCGCTGTTCCACACTCACTGCCACTTTGGTCCATATCATCCAAGTACACAAGTTGTGTGTAAGCTGTGCTGTCTGAAACCTTCCGCTCTCTCTGCTGGTGCTCTTGCACTGGTGGGTGACTCTGTGGTGCAGACAGATGATCTCCTCTTCCCTTTCGGACAGATTTTGGTTCATTCATGTCAACACCAGAGTCCAAACTGGCATCATTACTCCCATTCCTACCAGCTCTTTGGAGATCGATGTATGAATGTCTAACATGAGCATTTGAACGTCCATCTAGAGAAACAAACCATGCTCGAGGATGAGGCAATGGCTTTCCACCTCCTAATTCCATCAAAGCCTTTTCTGTAAGAAGCTGCACTTCGCTATTCATTTGAGCCAGGGATGCATCGTTGAGTGAGGCAGGAATGGAAATAGATTCAGACATGGAAGCATTTTGTTGACTCCACTCAGCTGCACCTGCATCTTGCAAATGTTGCTGAGATATTGCTTGGGATGCTAACTGCTGGGGTTGCAGCTGTTGTGGGGGGTGTGGAAAAAGCCGTGCATGAGGGTTAGGAAGCTCAGCCTGAAGTCTTTCTATATCAATCTGCTGGTCAGCTGGGACAACCAGTGGCTGGCTAACAAAAGGATGCTCTCCTGGCAATTTCATGTAATGACCTGGGATGACCAGTGCAGGCAAAACTTTTCTGTAAACACTGTCATTGACTTGGTCAACAGAATTGCAGCAGATTAACTGACCTGGTCGAGGGAAAGATGTAGGTCTTTCAAGGTGATCAACTGAACGAGACATCATACAATCAGTAGGTCTGCAGTCCAGCAGCTCTTTTTCAGGGGCTGAAGGTGTGGGGTATATTTGTTCCTGAATATTATATTTACTTCCAGTAGCAATATGATTCATAGATACTTGAATTTCTCTCTCTTGCTTTTCAAATAAAGGCTGAGACAGCATAGCATTGTAACTCCTCCTATACTCATCTTTGATAGGGGACTCATAGCCTTCAGCTGTTTCTGTAGATTTTCTTGTCTTTAAAGGAAAACTATCTGCTGACTTGTGATAGTCTTTCCTTAGAGACCCACTGGGAGTCAGGTCATCCAAGGAAATTCTGCTCTTGTCTTTCACCTTTTCAGAGAGCAGTTCCTCTCGTGAGCTAAACTCCTGAGAAGTGCTGAATGAGTGTTTGAGCATAGGCGTATGCATATCTGCTTCTCCACTAGGTGATGCCATCTCCATTTGGACAGCACTGATTAATTCCTTTGCACCTGAGTTTTCAGTGTGCCCATTGCTAGCAACGGACAATCCGCCAGGAAATTCTGACTCACGACGTGAAAAGATTAAATTTATATGGGACATCGAGGTTGCTTGATCCTTTTTAGAAGTGTCCAGTGCTGTTGAAAGCTGCAGTTTCTTATGATGCTGACGTGGTCTTAAACATTTTCTTCTACAAAAGCCAGTAAAAAAAGAAGTTACAGATTTATGACTGTTTTACGCAGAAACAAGAGCAGCAAGTGTGTTTTAATGGGAGATTTTTTAGCAGTGATTAGTATTAGGGGAATTGTGCTTTTATTACATAACCTAACAATTAAAAGCTTATTCCAGCAGCGAAGATAAAATTAAAGAATAACTAATGTCAAGTGGGAAATGTCTCAAGCACCAATTACAAATTGGAGCAAATGTCTGGAGGAGGCAAATACCAAATCACTCATTAATATACACTTGCTGATAAAAGTTTAACAGACCAACAGAAATATCACTTGCAAATATTTGAGGTGTCCCTGCCCAGGGCATCTAGTTTGGAACTAGATGATCTTAAGATCCTTTCCAACCCTAACTATTCCATTGTTCTATGAAATACATAACAGGTACAACGACAGACATCTTGTACCTATGCCCATGTTCGACAGGAGGTTTTAGAACATCTTACAAGAAAATCACAGGTACAGATGCATATGATTCACTCAACTCCCATCCTACCAAAGGCAAAGATTGTACATACTGCATGTAATCAGGAATGTATGAAATTTGATTTCATTGTTTCTTTCTTCTTCAAGCCTTTGCTTGCCTTCCCCCTCTCCCAAATTCCTAAAGTGAAAAAGTTTCAATACAAAAGTTTGTAATTTGACAAGCACAAACCCCCTTCTATTTCCAACACAAACTAAGTAACCAGGGTTGTGAATCTTACCTGCAATAATACAAAAGCAGACACAGCAAGACTAGAAGTATGAGAGCCATCCCTCCTAAAATTGCCAAAAGAAACATTGTGTGATAGCTGGTAATGTCGTGAGTTACAACAGGACCTGGAGGGCCAGAAAAGAGAATTTAGACTTGTAACAACCTGCAAACAGGAAGCTGAACAACACTTAAACAGAGAGCGACATCCACCTCCGTTATGAGGGTGATAAGTGAGCAACACTGCCACTCATAGCCCTGGTGCCTATTGAGCAGACCACCTCTGGATCAGGGAGCAAGTTGTGGAGAAAGCATGTGCTAGTTTTCATGACTGCGAGTCCAAATAGATCATTCTGTGGAAAAGCAGTTAGTTTCAATGGGAGTATGTGCCAGTGAAGGCTGCCTTCCAGTTCCTGATGCCAACACAGTGCACCAAAGCTCTCATCACTGCAGGAAAAACCATTACAACATCTTCCAGCACTGTAATGCATGCAGCAGCTCTGTGGCAAACAGCTTCTCTTTAACATTTGTGGTGCTTTGCACTTAACAGTACATACAGTGCAGTACAGGATTCACTGGAAGATGTGTTGGTGCTCTGAAGTCTAGATCAAGCCAAGCCAAGCAGATCTTCAGTAGCTTTAAAAACCAGGCCACTAGTGAAACAGTGTTGTAACTCCAGGTTTCAATAATGCTTAGTAGATGTTCTAACATATGGAGGAATGCCCACACATGAACAGCATCTGTTCACAATTATGCATGTGGAACCCTGTTGGTTTGTAAAATCCTTATCATGATTTTGAAGTAACAGCCCAAATGTTCATCTGCAGGAAAGGAGGTACAGCACCAGCCGACAGAGTAACATGCACATATTGTGAAGGACAGCCAACTTGGCCAGCATTAAGGTTCTAGATCATGAGGTTTGTAAAACCTCATCTGTGGATCTTGAGTTATCAGCAGAGCCACTGCTAGGAATACAATGCCCATTTTTGCCCATTTTTTGAGATAAGAAATTAAATAGATTCAATGAGGAGATAAAATAAGCAGACATTAACCTTATTAAAAATAACATCAATTATATGGCATTTGGGAAATACAAATATTTATACATTCTGGCCCACCACTACCTTTATATAATTGATTGATACTTTTGCTTCAGGACATTAAGCAAAAAGAAGAGATGAACCACTTGAATTTTTTCATGACGATATTGTTCCCATTACAACAAAGTTTTAGGAACCCAGATCTAGCCCTGAGAAAAAAAGGAAAAGTAAAATACAAGTAAAAATTCTGCCATACAAGTGAAACTGCAAGGACAAATAAGCCTTCTAACCTTAGAGTTACAGGAACAATTTTATGGCTAGTGTAACTTCCTTGCAGTCTGCAAAATGTCTGATTCAGAGCAGTTGCTTTTTCTTAAAGTACGATTCTTTTGTAAGGTTCCATTAAATTCAGTATGGGAGCTTATCCAGATCTGCACCTGCCTCTAAACTCTGCTCACCAAGGACTCAGCTAAGTATTCCAGCAGTTTCATTTAATATAGCCTCAAATAAAAAAAACTTGCATACCATGGAACAGCTTCATGGCATATACAACAGACTTTAAAAACAGTCCTCATGATAGAGTTTGTTTTGTTGGTTAGATATAGTTTATTTAGCTTGCACAGCCAAGACAAGAATGTTTTCATTTCTATTGATTTGGTTTTCATCCAGAAAACCTACTAAAGAAAATCTGGAAGAGGAGGAGGTGTTTTTTGTTTGATTGATTGGCTCTTTTATACAGAGAGGTACCTCTGGTTATTGGTGGCTGAAGAACTAATACTATGAAATCTAGGCAGCCACCTAGAAAAAAGGAAGAGCGAGCTGCAGCATTAATGATCTCCGTAGGCACAGAAGTACATATAATGCCTAATTCAAAGTGATTTTCTGCAGTTATGCCAAGAGGCTTGCAGATGGTAACCAGTCAGCTGGTCTCCTAATGCCGCTCTGTTAATACACTTTCCAGAACCAATACATTGATGTTATAACTCCCCTCATCTTCTAGCAATGGCTCTACCAGGCAGTGGTGACATAAATGCATCAAAGCAGGAACACTTTAGTAAGTTTCCCATTTAAATAGCTCAGAGATTTTGAGCACAAGGGTTACCCCCCACAATCCCCAAAAGATTTTAGCCCTTTACTTTCAGATTTCTTTTTTCTAATAATCCATTATTGATCAAGCTGTGGCATCTCAGATGGGGTCATTCTGAAAAACATAAACATTATAGATGAATAAATAATTACTCAGTGCTGTGAACACCAATAAAATTCAATTCCATCTTACCTGGCACAGTAGGTGACATAGCTGCAACCCAGTAGCCCAGCTGAGGTGCAATGTAAGTCCAAGTCAACTGATTTCCTTCTTCTTGTACAAGGCCCAAACTACTCTTCAGCCATGTCCCTGTGAAGTTTGTAGGAAGGCGTTACAGATATAATCATACCTTCCTCTGCAAGCAAGTGGAAAAGTAAGTAGCAACAAACCCTGTAGGGGTTGTTTGCATTGCTGTTAAGTGGAAGATTGTGTCAGTGGCATTTGAGAACCCCCACAAGCAGTCATCCCCGTGGGTTCTCAGAACCTTTGTACAGAAAAAACATTGAAGATTAAATAAAACTATCTTCAAAAGGGTTAAAATAAAATTATTGCTGCAATATTAGATTCCATTTTTTAAAGAAGGATATTCCTGAAGCTGATTATATGTAGGCAGCACACTTAAAAACTGTATTTCAAGAGACATCACATCTCCCAGACCACATGCGAGTTCTGCACACCACTCTTCTATGAGCTCTGGCTGTCAGCTTCTGAGGGCTGAAGAAAATACTTCCACAAAATGTGAGTCTTCCTATACAGGAAACAAGCTTATGAATATTACTGCCAATTCATGTGAAATTAAGTTGCACCATCACTTTGATTCAGTCAGAATGTGTATACACCCAGGAATCCTCTTTGATAATAGATGATGAGTTTTTTAAAACGTTTCTTAACAGAAATGTAAAAGATTTTTTAGAATTACCAAATGATCATCCTGAAATAAGTAAGACTGGCAATTGTAAAACAATGTGTTTAAGTTCACATAGCTCTTAAGTAGTCCAGATAGAACAACTCTCAACTGGTATAGACTGTCAATTTACAGAAGATAAATTTTGTTGCAAGAACTGAGCTACAAAAAACCTTTATAACTGAATCAGCTGTATGCCTTTTTATAATTCGTTAAGATCTCCAATTCTGGGGTTGTAGGAGAACAAAATTATTGTAGTTTCTGATGTATTAACTGTCCAGTATGACTTTTAGGCTGCTCCCATATGTACTGTCTCTAAAAGAAACACAGAATTGCTGGCCTGGACACTGAGAGCAGTTGCTGGAAAGCCACCCCTGACACCAAGCAGCGTTTCCAAAGCTGCAGTCCTGGTCTGGCATATCCAGTGGGTGCCATAACACAGGACATTAACTCACTAAAGAGGTTCTTCACTTTGGTGGCTACTACCAGTACAGCTGACTTGTGTACAGAGAATGGATTAAGTCCCTCTGCACTTCTGTAGCACAGCTCTCTGTTTTTGTGCATTTCCCTTCCTCCAACTGCTCACTGTAAGGGCAAGCTGCATCTTGCGATTCCCTTTCCATCAGTCTCTGGCATGTAATTCCTGAAACAGTGCTTTTCATCAGATGTCACTTAGGACTAAGACCAAGCATATGTGGATGACAGTCACGTCAACACTTAGCAGTGAATGCATAGCATGCAGAAGAGATGCTGCTATTGTTTTGAGTTTTTTTAATACCTCTGATATCCTGATGATTTACTCTGTATTCCGTAAATTATCCATCTGTGCAAATCCCGTATGAATCAGAATGACTTCCCTAAGTATTTAGTTTCTCTCTACTACTGACTTGTCCTACGTAAGCACATCCCTAAAGTCCACCATCTTTGGCTAAAAATAAACACATTTACATATTGTTTATGTCTGTTGTTTAGTCTGGAGAGGGGGGGACCTTATCACTCTCTACAACTACCTGAAAGGAGGTTGTAGTGGGGGGGTGAGGTGGTATCAGTCTCTTTTCCCAAGTGATAGGACAAGAATTAACAGTCTCAAGCTGTGCCAGGTGCCAGGGGAAGTTTACATTGGATATTAGGAAAAAATTCTTCACTGAGAGGGTGATCAGGCATTGGAACCAGCTGCCCAGAAAAGTGCTGGAATCACCATCCCTGGAAGTGTTCAATAACCATTTAGATGAGGCCCTCAGTGACACGGCTTAGTCATCGACTTGGCAGTCTTGGGGTAATGGTTGGACTTGATGATCTTAAGGTATTTTCCAGCCTAGATGATTCTGTGATTCTATGATACAATGAAAGGTTTAGAAAAACACATGTTTGAGAGGATTTCTAGATCTAGGTGACTAATATTGCCAGACAGTGACTCTGTATTTGCAACCAAACTGAATTTGTAGGCAACAGGTGAAAGGAATTACTGATGTAATTTTCAGCTTTCCAAGTATCGTTTCAGTCTGTACAGGACAGCTATAATCTGCTATTTCATAAAGAAAGTCACACAAGACAAGTGATTTTGATTCACAGTACCAAAAGGACTGTACAGATCTGCACACACAGCATCCATAGCTGTCATATCAGAAAATATAACTGAGCTGTCCACAGTTATGTGTGAAGGTTCTAGAAAACCCAGGAAAAGTAGATTCATTTTCTCCACTAAGATGATCACTATCCCTTCAAATTTTCTACCCACACACTTTTTGGGAAGATGTCACACTAATAGACCTGAACCACAAGGTGAGAAATAGCCCATAGGGCCAAAATCTGCTTCTAAAATGTCATTTGTAAGAAAACTCCTGTAAGCTTAAACTTTGTAATCTTTTTCTGCAAGTTCTAGACAACAAGATTGTGCACCAACTATTCAAATACTTAATAACGTGAAAAAGACTAAAAGAGATATAAAACTGCTGATTAAAAACAGAAGAATGGAAGGACCTGGGTGATGAATTCATCATGCTTCCCATACTTACCTTACCATCTCTAAGCCCTTTACTTTTACACACAAGCAGAACACATATGCAATGTAGCAAAGTTCATTACCTTTGCAGTCTATATAGCTACCTCCCTGCGCAGAAACTATTACTGATTCCCTCACTAGGGGGAACTTGTGTTCAGCTTGCCTTATTCACATCGCACTGCACTCTTAATGAACACAATCCTCCTAATGGCTCTTTAAAAGCCTTTTACTCATAATACTCTGCTTGCATAATGCAGTGATCAAGATGCTAACAGAGGCTGAACTCTTATCGCTGTGAGCAGAGCTCAGCTGCCATCCTGCCAAACAAGCAGCAGCTCAGATTGCTCATATTTTAGCAATGAAAGGAATCCCTGTATTTGCAATTGAAGCAAACAATAGTATCTACTGCACATGATCAGTCAGGTTTCATGCTTGTCTTCTGCTCTTTTAGGTCACCCTTTTTTGCTAACCACTGGATATACACAAGAAAATGTATGGGTCTGTATAACATTAGAGAAAAATGTAATTCCCTCTTTCTCTTACGGACAGTGAAGAATTTCAAAAGACTAACAAATATATCTGATACTGGTAATGGAACTTTTGTTGATGATACCCTACATATCAGTATGTGATGACTGCTAGAAAAGAACTACTTTTTAAATGGCACTCTCCTGACTTCCTTCATCAAGACAACACCAAGTGCGAGTTCCTAGGAACCATGGGTACACATCATCAACTGCCTTCTTTAATACCTTCTTGGTCCAACATTTTAGTGATAAACTCTCCTCTTATACTTTCACTATATCTTACCAGTAGTCCACTAATAAAACCGAGCATCCTCCCACATGATGGGATAACGAGAATGAAGAACTTCATCCTTCAGAACAGCAGCGGCAAAACAGGTTCGAGTGGAAGCAGTTGAAACGCAAAGTCCCGTATTGTTTCTTATGCGACCATACAGCTGTAAGCCAGCACAGTATTACTGGAGGGAACCGATATGCCTTTGGTATTCTCCAAATCCATCACAACATTTCAAGTCTCTCTCGTATTTCCTACTTTATAGCTTCTAATATCCTGGTTGCTTTTCAACTATCATTAAACACCAAGCAGCGTTCTTGTAGTTTACTACGTACAATGCCTTGCTTTAATAACTAATGCTGGACCTCCTACCAAGCAAAACCCAACCACATTGTACTTTCTGGCCATTGCTCCTAGTGTGTTTCAAGCTGCCTTGAGTAAGCAAGACTTCATCGCTGTGCAGCCTCAAGAGTGAATTCCCTATCCTGCCCCAGATTCTTCCTTGCAGGGTGAAACAAGATGTTCTACTCTTCTAAAAAACACAGCTGCTTATCCTCTGTGTTGTCACATACTTGCTCTTGTAAGCAAGAGAGGAGACTGAGGGGCAACGGGTAAAGGACTTTTTCTGTCCTTTCCTATCCACTAGCCTGCAAATGGAGTAAGGGCAAGCAGCATTCATTTTGTTCTGTGCAAGCAGGATTCCAACTGCAGAACTAAGCAGAAGGATTTAGGAGGGAAGAGAGGTTTTAGCTCCCTGCATGGCTGTAGTATGATCATTTAATTCATTATTCTCCAAATATCCCATAACATCTACTTCCTCCCCTACCCAAGGCAGCTCAATCAACTGGCTTAATTGCTTATAAAGTTTAATATATGATGTGCAATAATTGTTAAGTAACAAGTGATATAGGATTATAAATAAAAAGCAGTATAGATAATTGATGTAATAGAACTGGTAATTTTTGTTCAAGATTGACTGTGTACTTACAAAGAAAACTTGTCAATGGATCTCTGGAGCAGAAACAGCAAGTTCAGTATAGTTTGTAAGCACTGTATGATTTGGGCCAGTTTGCCATTAATTCCTAAGAAGTGTCTGGTGCTCCATGGAAAACTTCTATATATAGAGACATTCTTGCGTATAGATCACTTTTACATTTCTCTTCCTCTTTTTCCTCTATTGCTGCTCAGTGGAGCCAACATGCTGATCCAGGATTCAAGTCAGGGGAGCTGTCTCCTGGCTCAAACTAATGGCAGGGGGAGAACCAAAAAGTTTCTTAACTCTTTCCTCACTAAAATTATATTTAGGGTTACTGACCTTTTCAAATAAATGGTGTCATTTAACAAACTTTTAAAAAAGCTTATAAAACAGCTACCCAGCACTCCTTCCTATACAGAACTTAAAACCAAGGCAAGAGAATTACCATCATCGACACTACAAAGGATATAAAAATGAGAGTACTTTAAAAGAAATGCAAATCAAAAAACAATCAGATAAAGAACACTGAGCTCCATCTGGCCGCAAAAAAACCCATATATCAGAGACAAGTTGAAGATTTCAGCAGAACAGGAGAAATAAATTCTGCTACAGAGAAGCATCTTAATGCT